CTCCCTGGTGACCACTGAAACGTGACAAAATGCAGTTTTTCAAAACCTCTCTTTCTGAAAACTGGATAGAAAGTAACCAAATGGTTCAGAAGTTATGAAGAAAGACAAACTACTCCTTTGCCTGATCACGTATGCCTCATGACTGTATGAAAACCGGAGAAAATCCTTTTACCCAGTGCACAGTCCCTACTTTTCTTTAAAGAATCCGAGCGATGGTATTTGGAGCTATGCCCACTCAAGCAATCCATGGGCTGGGGAAATAATTACAGAGCTGTGCATCCCTCGATCACCGTGTGAGGGAGGTAATTACGGCATGGAGTAAGTGCACCAGACGGGAAGCGATTGCTCTCGTGCCCTTGGATTGCAGTCTGCTGCCTGGCAGGTCTCACATGCTGCCAGGGAGGAAAGCGGGTTCAGAGGCTATTTGAGCACCTAAGCATGCCGAGAAGTGTCCAGTGGGATTTTTTGGGTGTATGTCTATGCCAGCCTGACACAGCTTTAAGGAGGCTGCACGGACGCTGGATGGAGGTGGTGTATGTACTCTTGTTTCTGTCTGGCCTGGCTGGCATCTCTCGGATGCTTTGGTGGGGACTTACTGGGGGTGAAGGGCTCCACATGACCACCCACATCCCGCAACAGAGCAGGTACAAAGTGAAGCTCATTCACACCAACACAGACTTAGGTCTCTGATAATGCATTTCTTTTTACAGGAGGGAAAGAAATGTGTGCCACGGTATTGCTCTCTTTCCTAAAAATAAACGCAGGGAGAAAAAGAGGATTCAAAAAAACCTTGCAGGATTATCAACCCCCACCAGAAATCCTGACAGGCCCTGATAAATCGTCTGATAGGTTTAATGGTAAACTTGACAAGACAAAAGGATTTTTTTTTTTAACTTCTTTCTCTGACTTATGAAGCTTCAGACTTGCCTATAATCTACAAAGCTAAGAACTTCTGTAAAAATGAAAACTGGGGTACCTGCATGACTCCAGAGGGTGGAGATTTATGAAAAAATAAACATAACGAGGTGGTTTTGATCAGACACTGTTTGTGGAGGAGAGTTTTATGGTGAAAGGCATATGACATTTACATTTTCCTCTGCAAAGCCTTCCCTGCAAACTGCACAAAAACCCCTCTGACTGAGCCCTTCAGACTCAGCTATAAGCTGTTAGGAAGGCAGCTAATCCAAAAAATTGTAGGCATAAAAACTCACATGCCCTGTTTGTAGAAAAGTGGAAAACACTGTCTACTGTTAAAAATCAGAGTACTCGGAGACGTTATCCCTCCTGAGAGGTTACCCTAAAGCAGTGGCCTCTGGACAAGTCACCTGAATGGCTTGTGTGCGCAAAGCTCCTGTAGCTGTGACACCTCAGGCAAGAGGGGGACCTGGACACCCCTTAGCATGATGCCAGCGTGACCAGGAGGACACCTTGTGCCTGTGAGGCAATGGAAGTCACATCCCGATCTCATGGTCCGAAGACGCAAGCATGATGGAAGACAGGATAAATGGGAAGAAACAGCGATTTACTGGTAGCTGAGAGAGAGAGCAGCACTGTGCAGCCACAAGCAGTGGGTGTAAGTCTCTCGTGGGAAGGAAAACACAGATCAAAACAGAAGCAAGTAAATGAGCAAGTATACAACACAGTAGTGGCCTCAGGCTCTCTGTTTTATTGAGGGAAGATGATAAGCAGTGACTCTCAGCATTGCTTCGGTTAGGAAGATCACCAGGTGATGCCCTACTCGTGAAAATCCTATATCCCAATGGAATGGAACTGCTTTTGCTTTCACGGAGTGCATTTCTGAATCCACTGCTCCTCCCTGCTGGCTCAGCTAAACATGATGCACATCTTCGTTTCCACATGCAAGCAGACCCTGCAGAGCTGCACTGTTCGATACAGATGGCCTCCAAGAAGCCCTAAGTCAGCAGCACATTGGCAAGAGCCTCGGTGGAAAAACTAAGTCCCACACAGAGCAGAAATAGTCCCTGCAAGGAAGTACATTGCTTTTATGGAGCACAGGGAAAAGTAATCTTTCTGTTTGCAAAGAGCATCTCTGAAACCTTACAACACTGATCCTTGTAGAATTCTTTTGCACCATGACATAGACATATACAGCATAAATGTACTGCCAGGTGCTGCAGGAATAAACTGAGAGCACCTGTCCCTTTGCACTGAGCTGCACTGCAAATATATCTTCTGCAAATCAAGCCTTCATCTGTAAATGCATTGCACACCTAAAGGAGACCAGGTTTTTAAAAAACCACAAGTGCTAAATTCTGGCACAAAGAATTCATCCACCACCTCTGAAGTTCCTACGTTGTTACAATTTTTTCCCAGACTTGGCCTTGTTAGTAGAACTACCCAGGAGACTTTTGAAAACATGAAATTTTCAAGAGCTCAAGCAACTGCAAAAAAAGGCTTGAATGCAAGTACCAAGTTTTGATCTTTAGTAATAGTTTAGTAATAGACTTTTGATAAAGGACAGGGAATGTTAGATTACCCTTTTGTATTAACACCAGATCCCAAATGTTATTCAGGAGTTTAAGGTAAAAGACCCACATAAATAGAAATCGCATGCTAATAGGATGTAATGTTTTACTAATGTTTTACTACCTCACATATAAAACATCATTCTGAATGGTTTATGCTCCCAAGTATGAGTCGATACCGCTGTCGGTATTAGCTTAGCTAGGTGCAGGATTTTGGTGGTTTACACCAGCTATTTTAGCCGGTTCTCAGCCATAGAAGGTTTTGGCCTTAGTTTGAGCTTAATTTTTCCACAGGAAAATGCCAATTTGTTGGACATGGGGTTTTGCAAAAGTGCCAGTTTCAGTGAAGGCTGGTGGTTTCTCAGGGCGTGCTGGAGGCGAAGGCAGGCAGCGAAGGTACCTGCCTGGGAACTCAGGGAGCGGACAGACTGACGTGCCTGTGCTGGACTGGGATGAGCAGGGACTTGAACATCTTTCTGCGAGAGATTTGGGAAAGGAGTTCTCAGCTGATTCAGCTGTTGGAGAGAGCTAAGAGGAGAGATGGGAGGAAAGGAGCATGCAGGGGTGGCGTTATTATTATTACCATTTTTTAGTGGGGAGAGAAGAAAAAATTTCTACTTCCAGTGCAAAAACAAAAAGCAGAAGTCAAAATTCCTCAGAAACACAGTCCTTCCTCCGGCTGGATTTAGCCACAGCTTGCCTTGGTGAATCCAAGGGGTCAATTAACAAAGATTCATTTACTGCCTCTCAACGTAATAAAAGCAAAGCACCTGCCTGACCTTTCTTGCTGACAGCTCCTAGATTTAGCCAGTCACATTCAGCAGTTCCCCATCATTATGCTAAACCAAACCAACACCCAGGTTTCCATTTTCCACGGCCTAAATCCTTCAGCACAATATCATCATCTTTCGCTGCCTTCGTGTGAACTTTTCCACCTTCCTTATGCTCCTATCAAGGTAGTAGGGTCTTATGGATTCATGCTGGCCCTGGGATCAGTTCACAGCTATTGTGGATGCCCTGTCCTTTGTACACTGGCTCTCAGCACATTCAGCTTCTCAGCCTTACTGATTTTTAGTACTTAATTATGCTGTTTATTTTGCATTTATTGGACTGTGCTGTGCTTTCATTGCTTAGATAAAACTAGCTAGCAATCCCCAGGCCTCCTGAAGGAACGCTACCGCAGGAAATTAATGAATGCACTATTTTGCCCAGCACAGAGCAAACACACTGCTAACAGTGACAAACTCCCAACCCTTCCTTGGCTGAAGCATTGGTGAAAAATCCTGCCTAGTCCATGCGTGTGAAGAGACGTGGCCATTGAAACTGCTGATGAATAGCTCCACCTGAAGGACCAGATGGCAGGATACTAATGTGCGTGCGGATCCCACCTGATGCTTTACTTTTTGCTGTCATCATCATCAGGCAAATCTCTTCACCCAAACTTGAGAAATCAATAGCACTCAAACAAGGAAACTTGTTATTTTCCACTGGACAAACTTTAATTGTCTCAGAGGCTTCCAAGTTCAATGACAGACACTTCATTTAAAGCAAAAAATAGCAGTGCTGTACCTCTTTCTTTGATATTGAAGACTAGGATTCTTCAGATCTGAAGTCCCTGCTCTGGCTTGACAAATACCCAGCACTGGTAGATGTTTAGAGCAGGCAGATTAGAAAGACAGGCGAGAGGGTGAATGATTTTGGTGCTGTGGAGTACAGACTGTAGTTTGCAATAGGCATTGCTACCACCAGCAGATAGAAATATAAGCGAACGTTTCCTTGCAGTCACTAATGAGACTTCCAGTGTGACTCCTTTTCTGTCACGTTACATTATCTGCCAGCTGGGAAACTCAATAATTACTTTGCAGGCACTTACGAAGACTTACTTGTCGAAACAAATGATGGGGCATGAGGTGATTGTTAGGCACAGGCTGGAAACCAGCAAGCCCATCTCATGAAGGAAACAAACCACAACACTGTCACTTCTCTGGTAAAAAATATTTCCATATTAAAATTGGACAAGAAGAACAGACTGAGCAATTTTTCCAGGGGAAAGGAAATGATTCCTGGAAAGCAAATTCACTTCTGCAGAACAAAAATTATTTTTCTGCTCCTGGAAGGATACTATCTGGTTTGCTTTTCCAGATGATCAGCTTGGGAACCAATAGATCAGTTTTCCCAATGGGAAATCCAAGTGTTTGAGATAGCAAGGGTGTTTTCCACTCAAAAGTCATGTCCACAGAAAATCCCTAGCTGGACATTGTATAACCTGACATGGAACCTGACCATTGTCAACTAAAACCTAAAATATTTTGTAGACTCCTCCCTCAGTAAAATACCTCACAAGACAACCACCACTATCACAGAGACATATCAAGGTGGGGAACACACCTGTTTAACTACCCTGGAGAACGTCTTGCCCACATCTGGGTCTTGGTGAACTTTCCTTGCTGGTGTGGGGTGATGCTACTCCGTGGATGCAAAACTCTGAATTAGCAGGAGACGTTTTAACATTACCTCATGAGACAGGTAAAAGGCAGCGATTCCCAATGGCCAGAAGCAGCAGAGCATGGAGAACACAGTGAGGCCAAGATGATCTCTTGGTGGCATCATCAGGAAATTGTCTTCGCTTTCGGTGTCACTTGAGTAATCGCTCTGGAATAGCAACAGAGAGAAATGTAGAGGTGCTGGTTAATGATATTATTATTTATCCTCTGTCGTGGGCCAAGGCTGTGATCATCTGCCCATAAAACTCTCCCCAGTCACGCCAGGGCAATTCCTCAACATCAAGACAGGCCTCCAGCACTCATGGTAGAAGGTTTCTGGTGACCCACCCTGGGGTCTCTACCACGCAGGGGTCTCTAGACAGGGCCAGCTCTGGGGACACTTGTACCCTATTCATCAGGGCCCACACACCCGTTCTGCTCTGCTGTGGCTCTACAACAACAGTACCACAGGAGTTAGCCTGCCTTCCTGCAGTGTCCACACCAGCCGGTGGCATCCTTCAGAAGGACTTCAGGATTGGGACTGTGGCTGTGGCGCATCTCCCTCTCTGCCCTGCTGAAAGGCTCACCAGGGCACTAACGCCCTGTTTTAGCAGCACCCCAAAGGGAGGCTGAGAGACCCAAACCCTTATGTCTGCACCAAAATCAAACAAGAGAGAAGTGGGAGCACAGCTCAGAGGCAGGGTTACCTCTGCAAGTTGCAGGTTGGGACTGCAGCTGCCCTTTCAGCACCGACACTTGGGGAAGCCACCCCAGCCAGTGTCACAAAGTCAGCCCTCTTCTTCTCTCCTGCTGCATGCACAGCACTGGCTAGCAGGTGTCCTCCTTAGGAACACCAGGGGAATCTCCATTCCCCACTTATGTCACAGCCTCCATCACTATTGCATGAGCTTGAAAGCAAGAAATGAGGAATGATAAGAGATTTTGGAATCACTGGAGGGAGCTGAAAAGGGCCCATTTTACATGTTCATCTTTCATGAATGAAAGAAAGCGACTCTCTAGCCAGACAAACCAGGGTGAACCTGGGTGGGTTGGCACTTCAGAAACATCATGTCACATATCTAATGCAGAAGGAGCTGTAAGCATTGGGCGCTCTGCATCTCCCAACTCAAATGCCAGTCTTCTGGAAGGTCACTGCTCAGGTGGCCAGGAGAATGTCAGGTAGTAAAAGCTGAAAGAGAAAAAAGCATGAGTTGCTCCAGCAGCAATGGGATGCTGCCAGATTTACAGTGTGTAGGCAGAAGCACCAGCCCACGCATGTTTCTTAGGTGCCTGTCCTGGTTTCGGTTGGGATAGGGTTAAATTTCCTCCTAGTGCTGTGTTTTGCATTTAGTATGAGGAGAATGTTGATAACACATTGATGTTTTCAGTTGTTGCTAAGTGCCCTCCTAGTCCAAGGACGGCTCCCATGCCTACTGACTGAGCTAGGTACCCAAGATGGGAGGGAACATAATGAGGACAGCCAGCTCAGCTGGCTAATGGGGTATTCCATGCCATGTGACGTCATGCTCAGTATATGAATGGTAGGCGTGATCCAGGAAGTAGCAATCGCTACTTGGTTATCGGTCAGCGCTGGTGGTGAGCAATTGCACTGTGCATCACTTATTTTGTATATTTTATCATTATCATTATTATTTTCCCTTTTCTGTTCTATTAACCTGTCTTTATCTCAACCCACGAGTTTTTCTCACTCTTACCCTTCCGATTCTCTCCCCGTCCCACTGGGGGGGGAGGGGGGGAGTGAGTGAGCAGCTGCGTGATATTTGGCTGCCTGCCAGGTTAAACCACAACAGTCCCTCATGGTCAAGATGCAGCAACCCTGACCTAGCAAAAGTTTCCTTCACAGTGATTACTAGGACTGGTCCACAGGGACCTGACTGCCCCACTGCTGAGCGAGTACAATTCTCCAGCGGAGCAGGAGTGGAAGAGACCCTGCTCTCTGGTGGCTTCCTCCTTGCCTGCAGGGAGTCCACATGCAACAACAGGCACCAAGGCTGTGGTTATTCCAGGCTTTGGAGTTGCAGCTTTGGTGCAAGAAGGGTCCTGCAAAGCTCTTTAACTCGGCCTGGGAGCATCTCCAGCCTGAGATGAGGTGGCCAAAAATCTTCTCAAAAAAACCCTTTGCAGTTGCATGTTCTTCACTGATTGTAGGAGAAATGCTGTTAAAATCTCACTGAAAGGAAGACATTTGTGACACATTTAGAAACTTACTCTTTTGGGCATGGGTTTTATGTCCCTCTTAGAAACTTAGAAGCCTGTTTAGGAGTTTTTGGCCTTTGGGCCAAAACAACTGCTAAAGTGACATTACTCTACCAGTGAGCTCTAAGTGAGAAACTCCTGAACAGGCTGCTAAGTGGGCAAGACAGGAAAATGAACCCATGTGCAAGAAGGTAAGTTTCTAAATATGCCACTAGTAAGCCATGACTCAGAAGAACCTAGGAAATGCTGGCAGCCTAATGATACTTGAAAGACTTGGCACTGGGCAAAGGGATTGCCTCCCAAGCTGACCCATTTGCGGAACCCACCAGGTGACATGACCCATTGCTTGCTAACATGGAGAGTCTGCTTTGACAGATATTGCTGCCAAGCACCTGCCACAGACCAGAGGGACCTGGGACAGAGAGGTGGGGGGACCAGACAGGTCCCATGCACTGAGATTGTGTGGTGCATGTGAACACCAGCAGGCAGAGCACCCCAGCCTGCATCTGGGAGTCTTGATGCCTCAGCAGAAGTGACAAAGCTCCATTTGGCACAAACTCAATAAAATCCCACTTCTGAAGGGACACCTGCTGATGCTGCTGTACAGTGTTTGAGTTTGGTGACTTCCCTTTCTGCTTTAATTTTCAGAACAGGCCATGTAAGTAATTTTTAATACCAATAATCTTTCCTTTCATGAGTAAGAGAAGTGAGGAGGAGGGAGGAAATCTACAACATTGCTGAAATAGTCTCTTGAAACAGTGCCTTTCCCTGAACTTCATGACAGGTAAGATACAAAAACAAAGATGCTTTTGATTTCCCAGTTCTTGGCAGAGTAGTGTGCTGGCATTGTATCTGTGGAGACTACCTGTCTGATATTTCAAATTGCCTTTTCTTGCAGATGAAGATGAAATGAGGCAAAGATTCTCTAGATAACTTTGATCAAGTGCTGAACCAGAAAATTATCAGTTATGCTGCTTTCCAAAGAGACTAACCATTCTCAGGGTGGTGGCGTCACAACATCTCAGGGAGCTTCCATGCCGACTGGAGAGGTGGCTCTTAGACTGCAAGAGGATAATTGCGGAAGTTTTCTTAGTTATGCTAACTGAAAACCCCTTACTGGGGAAGATTAAGTCACTATAGGCGCATACTAATTGAACAGTAGAGTTATACTGTGAATGCCATTTTGATGGGCGCGGTCCCTGTAGTACACACTGGATCAGATGACCTGACTGTCAATCACCAAGAGTGACAGAATAATTCTGATCAGAAAACCCTGACCATGTAGTCCAGATATGAACCACAAGGGGAAAAAAAAAAATTACATAATCATAAATCACACAAAGAAATCCAACACCAAAAGGTATCTCTTACCCCTTCCAGCTAAACACTCATTTCTCCAAGCAAACCTTCCTCCCCTAATGTTCTCTCTCTTACAACATGATACCCAGCTTTTGACACTTTGGCTACCTAGCTGGCTGTCTTCACTTGTTCCTGGTTCAGCAACAGCTGCACCCTGACACTGGAGGAGCTGGACGTTAGGGGTGCTGAGAAGTCAGAATTACTTTCACCAATTACAGTCACTTTGGGTTAGCAGACTAATGCTGCATAATCACTAAAATTCTTGTCTGCAGCACTGCTCCATTCATGTTTAACAGCCTCTTTATAAATTTACATGGAACTTTTCACAATTACATCATAATCTCACTAATCTCACTGAAAGCTTTTAACTCTTGCAGAAGTTAGGGAATAGCATAACTAATTAATTTTAAAGGTTTGGGTGGTGAGCAAGACGGCACAGACAAACTTTTCTTTATTTAATGTTAAGCTAGATGAGTTTAACCAATCTGAAATATCAAACTATCAGGTTTTTCTTTCTACAGGTGTACCACCAGTGCATCCTCCAACCAAATAATAAGCAATCAAAAAGAGAACTTGGGCAACCATTAAAAAAATACCTGGCAAAGAGCATCCCTTTCTTGGTTGAGATATTCTGTTCATCAGCAGAGCAAAGATCCCTAATAGTTACTCTCCTAAGAACTCCCAGTTACTCAAGGCTTTTGCTGGGGTGGTAAAGACACAATCGAGTTGTTATCCTCTTTGAAAAGAGCTCTTCTATCCTGTCAGTCAGACGACATCATTGTCTTCATGATGCTAGAAAAATCTTAGGATGAAACAAGGAAAAATACATCCTGATGCAGCTGCAACCAACTAAGTGACAAGAGACAGGAGGATCACGGGGTGCCAAGGAACAGCAGCAGCAGGAGCTGACAGTCTCTTCGGGATGTTGAGGGATTTACTCCTTTTCAGACATGACATCTGGTTCCAGCAGTTTCCACTGCAATTGCACAACCACTTCTAACCACAACAGAGAATATTTACAGAAGGCAGCGCCTTTCCACTGCAAGTCAGGCTCTGTCTTGGAGACACATCTTTGTGCTTTAACGTGAAAGATGTGATCTCAGCAAGGTCCACAGTCCTTCCCCTTGCCAAGTGAGCTGCGCTCTCTGCAGCCCATGTGAGGTGCTGCTGTGAGAACAGATACCCGTGCAAATGGCCCTGTAGCAGAAATGATACATCTCTGAAATTACTGAGCACACAGTGGGGATTTCCTGCTTCCAATGGATCCTTTGTCACAAAAGCAGTTATTACAATGACAACAACCCTCCTCATGCTCGCTGATTACTGCTGCGTGTCCCTCACCAATACACTTGGAGTTCAGCTGAGAAGACAACAAAGCAATCTCAGTCTCAGTTTATCCACAAGCCTTTTTGTGGCTGTTATGAAGAAGAGGTGCAGACCTCAGGAGTGCTGGCAAGACTGGAGTTATCAAGAGAGCAAGCCCCAGAGGACATCTCCTCAGAGCATGAATTCCTGCAGAAAGCACAGTGCCCTGCCCAGATGAATGTTGATCGCAGCGAATGACAAAGAAAGAAAGCAGCTCCTTTCCCTTCC